AATGGCCTTACAATGCTCCTTTCCAATGCATAGATTATGATTCACAAAACAACTCATTATTAACACACTCAAGTTTTTACACTTTTTGCTACTACACACAGTACTACAGTGGATATATTTATTATTGCAAAGCCAGAAGATATATAACATCTATGCTAAATAATTCAGTGACCTTTTGCTTAATTTTCCTCAGTGCTAATAAAGCATATTGAGCTACTAACATGTGACCTATTCTTCTCACAAATATTTAAATACACATATAAAATCAACAATATAAAGAATACTAGAAAGCTGGGCATGCATGGTGACTCACACCCCCAAGACTTGGGAGGCAGAGGCAGACAGATCTCTTTGAGTTCCAGACCAGCCAGGGCTACACAGTGAGACTTTGCCTAAAAAACAAAACAAAACAAACAAACAAACAAACAGAAAGAAAAACAAAACACAATTAAAAAGAATATTAGAAAGCTAGAGGATTGGAGAGGCTGTTTATCAAACCTAGTGTTTTATAGCAGCCATATCGTAAGTACAAGCAGGTAACACCATTCCTTCCCAAGTAACTCATCCTCTTCCTTAGATTAAATCTTTTAGCTACCTCCTTCATGGAAGGGCACATTTTCTGGCCAGCATCCTGTGATAACTTTCAAATAATTATGTGTAACAGGCTGTATTAAGAACACAGTAGGATTCAGACTCCTTAGTTATAAAAGATAACTTCATGTGAATAATATTTAAAAGGCATTATGAATCTTCCTAGGTTTCCGTCAGTCATCCAGCTGCACAGGCCTGAGGCAGTGTAGTCTGAACATGTCTCTTCCTGTCTGTCTTGAAGCACAGAGTCACATCTGCCGTTTTGCCGAAACCAATAATGGATTGACGTAAAGTCAAAAATACCTGGTAAATTTGTTATGGTTTTTAGGTTACTATATATTCTCTGGGTACTCTAATCTGCTACTTTTCCTCTATGTTCAGGATATGGATAGGTCCCTCTGGGTAATATGCACAATGGTTGCAACTTTTAGACGGCAATATGCTGGGGTGAGGTAATCCTTTTAAAATCCACTCCTGGAGGAAAGCAGTGAGCTTGAGCATTTATTTTTTTCTGTTAATAAAATGCAAGCATTATTATCAGAAAGTAACTTCTGAGTTACACTTAAGCAGCACATTTGAAGGCATTCATACATGTTCAAGAATACTATAACATTTTTAGTTAAGTATGAACTTGTTCTATAGACTAAATGGTACAAAAATACTTGAGACGGGAGACATGAGAGTTGGTTAGGAAGCTAAAGGAGATTGACTCCCCAAATATAAACAGAGCCTTGAAATGTAGTGGGGTTTAGAGGCCCTGCAAAGAAAGGAAGACATAGCTAGAAGCAAAGGTAAGGAAGTAGGAACCAGACACAATAGATCCTCCATGTATCCAGGGGAAATGGCACTGAGAGAAAAACACAAGCCAGGACACCTCACAGAACCCATGAGCATAACTTCTTCCTTCCTCACAGAGCTCAGGTTTGCAGTGTATTAGGTAAGAGGCAAAAAGCCTAGTGCCGGTGGGTGTGGTGGAGAACACCTTTAATCTTAGTACTTCTGAGACAGAAGCAGGAGGAGATATTTGAGTTAGAGGCCCAGCTTATTTACATAGAGAGATCCAGGTCAGCCACAGCTACATATTGAGACCCTGCTTCAAAAAACAAAACCCAAAACCCAAAACCCCAAACCAAAATATTAGCAGCAATAACACAACTCTATCATATTTATCTAGCTTGATTTTCTGCTAAGGTCTTCTGTAATGCAGACTGCAAGAAGTACACATTTTGAGAGATAAAGTGGACATTACTTACTAGTGTCTCCATGAGTCAGCTGTTCAATGACTTAGGCATAGAGGCAAACACTGCTAATCAACCACTATTCCTGCCCTCCTTGTACCCAATGCTTTTTTGTGGAAGAACTAAAACTTGTAAATGAGTACATACTATTCTTTTCAGCTATCTGAAGGATTTCCCTTTGATAGAAGTGCATCCTGGACCCATTACATGAGAGAAGGTAAACCACTCTTAAAGTGAGCAAGAGGGGAAACATCTGTTATGTTTATAAACAAAAAAAATGTTATTGCTTTCTTTTATTTGATAGCTATAAACTTAGTAAGTGTAACAGAAAAAACAAACAAACAAACAAACAAACAAACAAAAACTCAAAACCGGCAGTTAAGAGACGATCCAACATCTAAACTTAAGAACTAAATACAGGCATGTCACCAAGAAAGTAGCTTTGGCTTCGAAGATTTTAGATCCTTATCTACCAAGGATCTCGGACAAAGGACACAGAAAGGAAGTAGCAATTAGCTAACTAAATGAAAACAGAGTCTTGAATTCAAATTCTCATTCTTCACTGGGTATGCTACTCAGAAGTTTTACTTTTATTCCTTTTTCTGATGAATGGAAGAGGAGGGTAAGGAGGGGTAATTAGGATATATAAAATGCTGTATTTTCACATATATGTACACGGAGAGAGGGAGAACACACACTACAACATGCCTTTGTTAACCAGATTAAAATGTACTGTGCACATTAGAACACGTGCTGGATCCCACCTCCTAATATTTATTGTTATGAATATTCCCAATAATAAATGCTGACCATACAAAGTTCTCAAGATTTTAATGTTTTTGTTGTACAAAAATGTCAATTTTATATAGGTCAATCTTTGATAGTCCTCCTACTAAAAGTATGGTTTGCTGTTTCACACACAAAACAAGACTATATCGAACCTGGTGTGAGTGACTTCACTACAGTGCTGCTCTCAGATCTGCTTCTCCAGTAATACCTTTCAGGTAATCTTTCTGTTTACCCTACACTGATGTAGGATATTTGTCTTGATTCACAAAATGATTTTAAATTTTACTTTGCCACTGAAAGTCCCATGTCTTTGGCACTGAGAAGGAAGATGTAAAAAGAAAAGGAAAAGAAACTAATTCGTAGAGTGCTAGTTTATGTCTAATGGCTAAGTACTAGTCATTCTATGCTTTTCCCTCTGTTGATAATTAAAATAAACAAGAGGAACAGGTGGCACTAATTTCATCTGAGAAAGAAGAAAACCATAGGGTAATAGACGTAGATGTCAGTTGAGTTATGGCATGTTTATGGTTTTTTGGGAAAAAACACACATTGTTATCTGCCTCCAAATGCTTATTCTGTAAGAATGCCAGTGTTTACTCTTTCAGGTACATTCTGAGCAGTAGTCATCTATGGCAGATACACTGGACTAGCTGGTTTTGTTTAAGTACTCTAGATTAGAAACAATGTTTATAAAGACCATAAAATATTTAAAACAGTGTTTGTCCCATGAAATGTATGTACAAAACAAATTCACATTGGATGCCTTAGCTACTTCATGACCATAAAGCGTTGAAAGTCAATGATGACATTGATCAATTTCATCAATAATAAAGGCAATGTATTAGCAATATAAATAGAAAACATGGGATTTTAAAAATAGGAAGAAAAATATAATTGCCATTTTAATGGTGAAAATACATTTTTAACTATTATGAAATCCATGCAAGATACTCTAAGTGGTATGAATAAAAAAAGGCTCAGAAATGGAAGCCCATGAAGTAAGGGGGTACAGTGGCACAGAAACAGTATACATCAGGGTTCGTAGGTGAACTCTTATTTTTGTAATTAAAACTGGAGAGATACTGCACAAATTAATACCATAGGTTATTCTGGTGCTGAGATAAAAGCAAAAGTTCATGAACAATTTTTAAGGAAAAACAATCAGCAAATAAACCTAAATTATATCAAAACTTAAGTATTAGTTATAAATGGCTCTCTTTTTCGAAGTAAGGCAGAGTTTTGTCAGAAATACACATAAATGGAAAAGTGTTTGCAGCTATGTGCAAGAGTGTTCATCTACTGATACTGATATTATTGGACATGAATTTTGTTACATCTTTACTTATAAAACATATAATGAATGCATTGATCAAGTCAAGAATAGCAGAGATTGCCTTTTGCCATCTGTAAGTCATATTTTTGTTATGTTCTGTCACGAGATACCTTCAAGCCTACTCTCCATCACCAGTGTCAATGAGACCATGTAGAGGCAAAGGTAGCTGCCAAAGAGGCATCCTGACTAACTAACCTAGGGAGAGACTAGTATTGCAGAACTATTCTCAAGCTATAGTGGAGGGGACAGACAGGAAAGAAGACAAAAAGGGAACAAGCCATTTCTATTATATACAGAAAACATAAGTAAAATAAGAATTAAACAGCAATCAATACATATAAGCTCCTGTCACTGCTTGAAAACAAAAGTAAAACAGAATTTTTTTTTAAGACAGGGTTTCTCTGTGTAGCTTTGGAACCTGTCCTGGCACTTGCTCTGTAGACCAGGCTGGCCTAGAACTCAGAGATCCACTTGCCTCTGTCTCCCGAGTGCTGGGATTAAAGGTGTGCACCACCACCTATTGGCAGTAAAACAGAACTTAAGTATCAAACTCTATTAAGCATCATTATGTGGACCAAATACAGTGTTATTCTTATTTCTGAAAACCTTTTATGTGTATATGACTGAATGTGGTGCATATGTGTTGTGTGTAAGGCACATGTATATGTGAGTGTATGTACAAGTGCATGGTGCTTATATATGTGTGGTGCCTGAGTGTGGTGTTTGTGTATGTGGTATGTGCATGGGTGTGTTGAGGCCACAGGACACTGGGTATCCTCTGCTCTATTACTCTCTGCCTTTAAGGTAGGGTCTCTCAGAAACACATGGAGCTAAGCTACTCACCAGCAAATCCAGAAATCCTCATCTCTGTACTTCTTAATGTTGGGGGTATAGCTGCATATGTGGCCATGAGCAACTTTTCCTGTGGGTGTTGGAATCTGAATTAAGGTCCTCATGTTTGTGCAGCTTACTCTTACCCGCTGAGCTATTTCCTGCTTCAGAACTATGCAGTTTGTATGAAAACGGAAGACACAGTACTGAGTTCATACCTGTGCTGTGTGGCACTTCTGCAGGCGTATTAGCTGGAGCATGTGCACCTGGAGGAATCTGTATCCCAGTGTAGCTGCCTGGTGCCAAGTTGCTTGGGTCATTTGTTGAAGATGATGATGGCTGAGGTGGCTGAGTGGGCAGAGAAGTGGCTCCAACATCTTCAGTTTCTTCAGCATCTGTATATAATAAATGTACAATGTTGAAGCAGGCATTATAAAATATAATTGATAAGTATTTTTATTTTCCTCCATTCATATGACAAGTAGAATCTACAAACGCAATTCTACCTAATGCATCTTATATGCCTGTTATTTCTTGAAACCATTGTTATATATATATTTTTTTACTTTCTTAAAAGTTTTGACTTACAATGAATGACATTTCTTTAGGATGTTACCCACCAGGACTACATAGTTCAAATACCTTCAGACCATTGATTCCTTGTTCCTACTGATGTGGCCTTTCAAGCCCCACTTAAATCATTCAACTGCTTTTCTAATCCAAAGTCCCAAAGTCCATATTTTCCCAAATATCTATTATGGTATAGATACCTGAATGTGAAATTTCATTTTAATTTTTATTAATCTTTGATCAATACTAATAGACAATCATTTAATAGGCTGTCCATAGCAAATATTGAAAAAAAGACAACTATAAAAAAACAATTTTGGACAACACTAATGTGACCTATTTTGTCAAAATGTCCTTATTTTTCACTTGAAGCTTTGAATCTTATTTTAAAGAAACAAATATTATGTGCTCAGGCAATTTCAGGCCCTGGGGAGAACTTACTACTGCTGATTGACTCAACTGTCATGGTACCAGGCCTCTTTCTAAATATCTAAAGGAGCTTATATGTCTTAGTTAGCCTTTACTGTCAACTTAATAATAGCTTAGAGTCACTTGAGAAAAGTATCAATTGAAGGTTTGCTCAGATTAGATTGGCCTGTGAGCATGTCTAGCAGGGACTGCAACGATTATTTTTCATGTGGGAGAGTCCAGTCCACTGTGGGCAGCATTATTTCCTGGGCAAGAGGCCCTAGGCTATATGAAAAAACAAGCAAAGTATATATTTCCAAGTAACCCAGCAAGCGGTGTTCTTCCATGGTTTCTGCTTTCAAGCTTCTGTTGAGCTTTTGATTTTTCTCAACGATGGGCTGTCATGGAAATGAAACTTTTCCTACCCTAAATTATTTTTGGTCAAAGCAACAGAAATGAAATTAGAAATATTCAAAGAAAAACACTACTCTCAGCCTAGCTCAAAGATGGTTTTCCTTGCAATGAATAGTGGTGAATATAAGAGACTCATTGCTACTGAAGGTGCTAGTTGAAAGGATGGCCTAAACAGGCCATTTATACCACCACCTAAAAACTCAGGGAACATCATGAAGAGGAGAAAAGTCTGTAATATCAGGAAAATATGGACAAGTTCTGGTAAATGCTAAATTATGAGAATGGCATAACTAATGCAATCACGATCTCACAGCACCAGGGCTACCAATAATGGGCCTGAACATGACTGGGTCTGTCAACAGTCAATTATGGGTGGGGACAGGGCTCCCTGGGCCCTATACACTTTCCTGTTGAATGATGGATTACTAATAGGTTCCAGAACACATTCTAACTGATGAGCTGACCAGGTCCTGATGCTTAGTTCCAAATCCATGGTCACATAGATGGCCCTTGTTGAAATTAGCCAGTCATGAAACAAAAACAGACCATTGTGGGAGGGATTTCTAGACAGAAAGGAAGGCAAAAGAGATCTGGGGGTGTTTGAGAGTATGTGGGCAGTGACAATGCATACAGACATATTATGTACATGTATAAAACTGTCAAAGAAATCAATTAATGAAAGTTAAAAAAGCAGTGGTATTCAATTGCAAAGAAGTTCCATACTAACATGTTTAAAATTTAGTGTTACTTGGGTTATTTCTAGATTTTAGGCAATTATAAAGTTCTTATGAACATTCACATACAGTCCTTTGTGTAAACATACATTTGTTTTTCTCAAGTGTATTGGTTCTCAGTCTTCCTAATGCTGTGACCCTTTAATACAGTTCCTCATGTTGTGCTTGTTAGGAACTAGCAGCCAGCTGACCCCAGTCCCGACGATGGGCGGGACGCTCATAGCGTATCATCTCTACTTCAGCTTTACCTGGCGGCCAGAGAACTCAGTTACACATGTGCAAGCCTCTTTTAAAGCAAGAGCGCCAAGTGCTTCTCTCTCTCTGCCTCTCTGGTTTCTTTCTCTGGTCCCTCTCTGTTTCCTCTCTCTCTCTCTCTCTCTCTCTCTCTCTCTCTCTCTCTCTCTCTCTCTCTCTCTCCTGCTTTCGGTTGGCCACCAGCTACCCCCTCTTTCTCTCCCCTCTCTTAATAAACTCCACTGGGCGCTGACTCTCGTGTTTGTGTTTTATAGGCATTAGTTGCATCAAAAGAACAACAGTGCTGACCCCAACCATAAAATTATTTTCATTGCTGTCTCATAACTATAATTTTGCTACTGTTATGAATTGTAATGTAAATATGTGTTCAGGTATTTCTTAGTCAACCCTTATGGAATTTAATCATGAAAAGTATGAAATTCTTGTTATTTTTATCCACACAGTAGTTAATATGGAAGAAAAAGAAAGGAAAAAATGTTTCTCACTTTTTACAAAAGCATTACATATAATCAGTATACCATTTTCTCTGAACTGAGAAAAATCCAGCTAATCCTTGCATTTTATTAGATGATTTGGGGGCATCTGTGAAGATGATTATTTATGGCAGAAGGTTAGGTAGTATATACTTGTGAACCATATATCCTTCGTGAAGGATATATGGTTCTACTATTATGATGCAGATGATTAAATTATATAAACCCACTCACTATGTAATAACATCAAAATTCTCCTGTACAAAGATTTCCTTTTATAAGTCAAGTGCAAAACAGTATTATTATAAATTGTGTGGAAAAAAAGAGACTATCTACTATATATCAGAATCCATCCATCTCACACATTCCATCCTTCTATTTGCTTGAAAATTCGTAAAAAAAAAAAAAAACTGTAAAGATAAACAAAACTAACTTATTTACCATGAGTTTTGGTAGAATCTAAGAAGATGAGTATATGGAATTAGAAATTCACTTCCCACTTTTGTATGATCTGTAATTTTGGGAGCCATGTAAAGTATTACTCTGTCCCCTGCCAATACAAAACATTAAAACAAAACATAACACAAAAGAAACAAACAAAAACCCACAAAAACATCATAGCACTAATACAATATCCATTAAGGTTTGGAAACACCATCTAGGTCACACTGTGAGTAGACTGTCTTTCCTATGCAGAGATCAAGTTTGGGCAGATATGGGAGGCAGTGAAGACACTTAGCTGATATGGATAGACAGAACATGTAAAGCCTTAATCTTAAATGTTCCCAAGTTCCTGGCTTTATAATTATTGTAGATGAAAAAACTGTCAGTATCTTCTGAAAACCTTGATGTCTTCTGAAAACTCAAGATTCTACTGAAACATTTCTAATTAGTACTACTAAAAACATACCTTTATCTTCTTCAATTCCAACAGGGCCTGCTTGAGGAGTCTCCCCATTCTTTAAGCAGTTATGGATATATGTTGCCTTCCACCTTGCATACTTTCTGTGTTTCACATTCTAAAAGGGAATACATTTGTAGCACCATCAGACCATGGTGAAATAAAAATGAGAAGTAATAACATGGGCTAAGTCATATTCCTGAGATGAAGTCTCTATTTGTGTGTGCAGCTCTAAGAGTCTGACCATGCCTGCATTCTACTGCTGATTGTTCCAATAGGCAGGCCCTGGAAGACTCCATGAGACAGTCTTTTCATTAGAACACCATGACATCACATCACAGAATAAGGCCGCTGGGAATTGTTTGTGTGTCTTGCCAGCAAAATTTCTAACTCTTGGGTTCCTAGAAAAATAGGTTAAGTGGAATTTAAGCTAAAATATAAAAGATAGCAACAACAGAAAACTTGTTTCTGTAAAGATATATGTATATGTATGTATGTATGTATATATATATATATATATATATACACACACAAAAATAAATAAAACTAAGATGACAAAAGTGAAAGTGATATATAATTAATGTTAACTTCTAAATTGTCATATGCTACTAAGTGCTGGATCTGATCACCTCAGTTCTTAAGGGTGGAGGGGGATGGCAGCGGGTGTTGGCAGGACTTCAGTCTGCTGTCTAAAGAGGAACTGAAACACCACTCACTAAGGAGCCTGGAACTCTCCTGTTCCCATTTTTTTTTTTTTTTTCCTCCTTCAGGTTTTACTGCACTTTGTTCCATTTCTTTAACAAATTTTCAAAACAACTGTCCACACTTAAAGTCTTCACGATTTTACTGTTCAGCTCACTGGCATGAGTGCTTGTTTTACTTTATTTCAGTTCTCTTACTGTCACACACTAAGTCAGACAATTTGAATGTACCCACCTCTTTAGTGGCATGAGTTTATACCTCACCAAAGAGAAGCCTTCCTTGCTAATGTCACCAATAACCTAATTTTCTTCGGCAAGCCCAGTGGACATTTGTAACCTTCCCTTGTCAAACCTGACAACAATATATTAAGCCCTGGACCATTTCTGTTTGTGAAACTGTCAGTCCCATTTTGTGACTCTCTTTTTTCTCCTTCCTCCATTTTTGCTACCTACGCCCTTACCTAACCTCTAAATAGCCTGAAGGTTCCTATTCTAGCAGAGACTGCAAACTAGTGGACAGTTGGGGTGATTCATATATCACCTGTTTCTTACAATATATGCAAAGTTACAGAAACCCATTATTGTTAACTATTTAAAAATGGGACTTTGGAACACTAGGATTCCCTTTATTTGGCAGTGTGTCTGAACTGGGCGACAATTCTTTCAAATGATGCATGCAGATCCATAAATACACCATCTCTCCCTGGCTCTTCTATTGCCCTCTCCCTGCATTCCCAGCTTCATACATCTTTGGCATTTATTATCAGGTACAATTTTTTTTAACCTCACAGCATCCTGTCTTTCTATTTACACAATTTCTACAAGCATCAGGAAGGCAGTCATATTGATTTACACAGCTTCTTTATTAATCTGAAATGCATGTAACTACTCTAAGTTTGCTTCCGATAAATATTTGATAGCATGGTTATTTCTATTATGAAGTCACATATACAACTAAAATGAATCTTCCCCAAACCCCTTTCCTGATTTTCCTAGCCTCTCTTCACCCCAGTTAAATAAATTCACTGAAGACAGGTATCTGTAGGAGTCACTTTTAGCACCCTTACCTTATCTCTGGACACTTCCACCATATTCACCTGATTTTACTTTTGGAAATTATAACGTTTCCTATCTACACATTCTAAGAGTTCCCTAATCCACTAATATGTCTCTATATTTTTAACCTATCTTCCTGTGTGTGTTCCTAGTTCAGTGCTCAGATAAATCTTCTAAAATACAAACCCATTCATATCAATCTTTGCAGTAGCTTCACTAGTCACTTGGGCTACTTGGTTCATAACTGTCCAGGCTTCTTAGTCTTTCTGTCCACTTCACTCTACCATGTAGCTTTCTGGATACTTTCTGTCCCTAAACCTGTCCAGGCCCATAGATGCTGCTATCTCTGGCTGTTTCTACTTTTTCTTATATTTATTTACCTTACTCATTCCTAATGGGGTGCATCAAATATTAATTCCTCACAAAGGTTTTCCTGATCCATCCAATCTAAAACTAAGGAACTTATTTTAACAATATTTGCCATAACTTATAATTACATATTTATATTTATAAAACATTTCCTTGTCTATAAACATACTGATATCACCAAAGGCAGTCTACTGTCTGCCCTCTGTACCATGTATCTGGTTTTGTTCTAGCACACACCAGCTACTTAATAACATCTCCCATCTGATAAATGTGTGCTAGCTAACAGACATTACCATGTTCTCCAAATATGTAGTAGAGTTGTTTGGCTATGTATGAATTATTCAGTTTAGGAAGTTTAACTGAATTGATTATATTGTTATGTAGTACAATTTGAAATTTCCAAAGTTTGCCTGTTGAACTTTTTAACACAGGGTATCATTCCAAGGCCTTAGGCTAGCTGATTCAGGGTAGTTAGTGCTGTATAATCAAGGCTGGTCTTAACATTGTGGCAATTCTCTTGCTTCAGTCTCCCAAGTGCTGGGATTATAGCATGAGCTACCACACAAGACTAGCAGTTTCTGATCTACACAAACATCATTGGCACATGGGTTGCTGTTCCTTCCCTTCTTTTTCACTGTTTTTAATAAAAACAAAGCAAAACAAAAATGTCAAAGCATTGAGTTTCCATTAGCTTTATGTTTTCAAAATCCTATATAAACACTAAATTATCTAACTTAAGAATCTTTAGGTTTACATGTCCACTTGAATCCTGTATGTACAAAAGATATTATCATGTCCTCCAGTTGTAAAATTAAAGTTATTACTTATTTTAAATATAAGTAGTCACCATTGATATTTTTATAGTATAATAAACATTTGCTATTAAGACTTTAAATTAGCAAACAAAGAGATATAAAGTAAGCTATGCATTCCATTTGCCTCTTGGAGCTAACCATCCAGCTATGAACAAAGAAAGCATATTACATCAGCTACAACAAGTAGAGAATATTAAACTAGTTTCTTGTGGTGTTTGAATATTTCTGTCTTAGTTTGGGTTTTATTGCTGTGAAGAGATGCCATGACCATGGCAACTCTTACAAAGAAAGTATTTAACTGAGGATGCTCGCTTAACGTTTCAGAGGCTTGGCCCATTATGATCATGACAGGGAACATGCAGTGTGCAGACAGAAATGGTGCTGAAGCTGAGAGTAGTACATTTGCAGACATCAGGAAGTCAACTGACTGTCACACTGAGGGAAGCCTGAGCAAAAGAGACTTCAAAGCCTGTCCCCACATTGACATACTTTGTCCAACAAGGCCACATTTACTTCAACAAGCCACATTTTTAATAGTGCTACTCCCTTTTGAGGCTGTTTTCTTTCAAACCACCATAAACTCAGAAAGAAAAAAAAAAGTATGCACAAAAATCCTTGGGAGTAGAAATGGTATTTTGGTGTGTTCTTTCAAGACAAGCATGATGTGAAAAGGTGGAGAGAAAGGCAAGCCCATACTGGGGAGGAAGAAAGGTCTATGCAGTCAGATAGCTGAAGTAAAAAGAAGGTAAGATGAATGGAAAATCAATCTGCTATGGGTAAGTAGATTATAGGTGAGTTGGATAAGAAAAATCCAAAACAAGATTAAAATTTCAGCCAACAACTGTGTTTCACCTTCCAAGTTATACAGCACTTTTCTATTTGGTCCTCCCCAATTACCTTGGTATGCAAGCAAGTTATATTTTACTTTCTCTAAGACTCAGAGACATTATGGGACCAGGTGAATAAAAACATACTTTGGTCTGGCATTCAAAACCTTCCACATTTATGTTTCTGCTTCAGTCTCAGCCATGCCATTTCCTTTATGCTATTTCCTCATGCTATTCTCCCTTCCCTACTGTGGTCATCTTGTAGTCAAATGTCCCCTCTTCTTCAAGGCTCAGCTCAAATAGCCCCCCTGGCTTGCAGAATGTTAATTATTTTTTATTTTCTCAATGCAGGCAGTATGCTAACTGCTGAGGCAGGATGAATGAGACAGCACAAACATTACGTACAGTCAAACATGAGGCCAGCTAGTAACTGCCATCTCTAAATTGAGCCCTTTCATCCAAGTTCTGCTTTAGCTTTTGCTGGAGAAGAAACCACATCCTTTACCACCAAGAAAGAAGAGAAAAAGGCTTGGGTCTCACAGTATCCCTGGTGAGACATTTTCAATGGTCTAAATGATTTCTACAAGGTCCTACTGTTTCCATGAACTGGGTTCAAGGAAATAAACATCCAATATCTGGATTCTGGAGAGACCTTATTCAAACCTTAGAGTCCATTAATCTCATCATTACAGAGCTTTTAATGGTCATGATAATTTAATAATAAAAGAAGGCACACTATTTAGGAAAGCTTTGGTAAGCTATAACTTGTAATTCAGATGGAAATATATATATATATTTAAGATGGAAACAAATGAACTTCATCTTTATATGAGTTAACCTTGTCTGTAGATCTTGTAGAAGAGTTATATCAGGAATATAAGATTTTCTCCTGGTTTCCTATTGTAAGAAGCTTAAAGCATCTTGGGTACCTTCACCAAGTATGTAAAACTTAAAGAAATTAGTTTAAGTTAAAGAGGGTTTATATTAGTAAATATGAAAAAATTCCAACAGCACATAAAGAAAAAATTGCTTTTAGTTCCTATTTTCCAAACCCTGGCACAAATAATATATAGCAGACACTTCTGACAGTTTTAAGTTGAGAAAATGGACATCTGAATGCTGTTGTAAAAATAAAGAATGTTTGATGATGCACAGCATTTTAAATGTAAAATTTCAAGATGTCAATTATTTCTAAAATCCATTCAGTACTTTTGGCTGAATAAGACATCCTTTCTGGGAAACAGGAATTGTAAAAGGAGCTTTTACTTTTGTCCCTAGCCCCAAGTTCCTGTTTTGTAACAGAATTGATGAAAATCACTGAGAATGACAAATCTAAGTTAGTAGAGTCAG